GGATTCATCCGCTACCTAGTTCTTTTAAGTAATTGTTGGAGATCTATTCTTTCTGTTGATTGTTCTTTTTCTGTGCAATTGACACCACTTCTTGTGTTAAATATGTAAATTACTTTTGCTATTACAAGAGAGCAAATAAAAGCATTGTTTCACGATAACCGGTGTAATTATTCTTGAGGTCACGAGAACTTATAACCCAACCCTGCAGGACTTAGATCGCAGGACTCCTAACGTATCGAGCCAAATGCGCTCAGTCGATATATAGGCAGGCGCCTCTTAATTGTTTTCGTTTTGCCACCAGCGTTCTTCTACACTAGAGCGATCAAGCGATTGAATGACTCACTAACTCAACAAAACATGGCCGACAAGATTTTCCGAATTTTCTTTTTACTAGCTAATAATACCCCCTTTAACGTTATTAAATATAAATTAGCGGATGAAATAAATAACATTTCCAATATTTTATTTGCTGGGAAGTTTAAAGCTAATTTATAATTTTGTTTGGAAGCCCAAGTATTGAGTTCTTTTCATCCGAACTTTTTGCCACCAATAATGACTTTTTCTAAACCTGTTAAAATTCGCCTCCACGTGACACAAGCTGTTGCGTTACCGTTACCGTAGAAATGCAGCTTTTAAGCCGCGTCTTTTTTCTCTCAATCTTGCTTAGCGCTTCTATAAGAGAGCTTTCCCGCTTGTTTTTGATTTTCTATTGTGTGTTCTATCACCAATCTGTTAGTTTCATAGTCTTGCAAATACCCACTTCCACTGCTGATTCTTTCGTCTATAGCTTTGTCTATAAGCTTCAATAATCAGCCAGTAGGGAGTTGTCGCGTCATGAAATGGTTCATGTTTCTACCCCACGTTTAAGTCTCCAAGCTCTTTTTGGTTGGATATCCTGCGGGCCGATTATTGAAATTGATATATAAAGCTATAGACAAAAAAGACAAAAGAGATATGGAGGGATCCTATTGGTGGAAGCCGGTGGTTGCAAAGGACAAAAAAGCTAGGTAATAGACTGAGTAACGGCAACCCACGACAGACCCGATTGTTAGTCCATCATTTTCTCCCTTAGGCTATACAGGGTGAGCGAAAAGTCCCCGACCCCCCCCCCTCTAACTTTTGAACGAATTGAGCTAGGGAAATGAAACTTTGGGAATATTCCTATCTCTAAGGGGACCATCTTTTGAGGGGGTCAAAATTTTGGTCCCCCCCCCCTCAGGGGGGGACAGGGGCCCCCCAACTTTTTTTTTTAATAGCAACCCCTATCTTGTGATACCTCATTCGAAAGAGCATAAAAAACCAAGAATTTTGGCGCAAACCGCAGATCAATATCTCAATTTTTGACCGAGTTATGATAGGTCAAAGGTCAAATTTGACCTATTTTCAAAAAATCATAACTCCGGTTCAAATCATCGTAAAGAAAAAAATAAAACGGGGAAATTTACCAAATTGTGTTCGCTTTTACGTAAAAATTGCAGAAATCACTTCGATTTAATTTTAAGGGTGGGCTCGGACCCCCAAATGCGTCAGTTCAAAGGTCATTCAATTTTCCCGCGAAATAAGCCAATTTCCTCTGGATTTGCTTCCACATTATCTCAGTAAGGTCAAAATCAGTTCAACATTACGTTGGCAAGTCCCCTTTCGGGAAAAGTTAAAAAAACGAAATTTAAACGGTCAAATTTAATCACCTTAAATTTCGTTTTTTTAACTTTTCCCGAAATTTGGGGNTGTTTTTCCCCCACTTAAACCTATGGAAATGTATCGATTTTTGTAGGAGTCGAGTGCTTCAAAAATAATCGATTATTTTACATAGGTTTAAATGGAGGAAACCCGGTGTTGCCAAATTGCTGGATCCATCTCTGATTGTAAAGAAAATTGTCCAACGCCAAATAGTTATCAGCTTATCAGGCTTAGAATTCCCTCACTTCATATCTTGAATTTGATACCGTATTTTAAACAGGTAAAATTTTAGAAGCCAAATGAGAAAGATTTAAAGCTGAGAATTTGACGACGTATTCTAGTTACTAGTTTCGTTGGAGCACTGAGTTTATCAAACGCTTTTATAACAAGGGAGTCAGAAATTAAAACTTGTTCAATACTGTGTATGCTGATTTTTTCTATAAAATTGATACGTAGGATGCTTTATCTCATCGGATAACAAATTAATTGTTTCATTTTCAGTGCCTTACTCCCCTTACTGGGACCATATTCGCACATTTTGGGAGCATAGAAACAATCCAAAAGTGCTGTTTTTGACTTACGAGGACTTGAAAAAGGTAACTCTCGGACTGACATCTACAACAAACGTCTCTACGTAGATGACAATCCAATATTACTTAATCACGTGCTTCGAGTCAAAATTAAGTTTAGGATAGGATGCAGATAGGATAACAAGAATACATGGAAGAAACTTGAGAAAGCATTCAGCTATAGACGCCTTCAAATGTGTATGATACACAATTGTATACATATTGAACGAGTGTCCTACATTTTTGCGTGCATCATGCGTACGAAGGATAATGTACCAAATATGATGACACGTTCAGTGAGGACATGTTACTAAATAAAATTACGTTTTGCAACTAAATTTTATAAAGTGTTCCATTGCTTTTACCATGTGTGTTGACAAACAGAAACGAGAATTAGGCTTTAAATTCAAACTTCAGTATTTGTTTTAATACTTAGGGTTGAGAGCCATTGGATTGTTTCAATAATATATCACGTTGTGGACGGTAAAATTAAGACAACGAGGATCACTGGTTTTCTTCAGAACGGATAATTGGATGCAGTGCAAAATTAAACACCAAAATATGTGTACTTTTCCTCTTATATTGTAGAATACAATGAACTTATTTAACCTGTCCAACTTCAATCACTAAGCTAGAAAATGACAAGTTGTTTCTATATTAATTCACACTTTCCGGTTTTCATTTTTTATGTTATTTTATTTATTTATTTTAAATCGAAGATACGTTGTATTTTAAGACCAAGCGGTAGTGCTGTGCTTACTACTTAAATGACATACTGCGCAGGTGGATTTCAATGCGTAATTTGTCATACATTGATTTGATTATAGTTGTTTCTTATGCGGAGGTTCAAAATGGACTACATTTTGCAATAGGGAACTACGCAAGTTCAAATTTAGTTTAAAACAACGTTTGCACTATATTCGTTTTTTTATGCACATATGTGATTTTACGAAGGAGCCAGAAATTGTGGTTCCTAATTGCGAAATGAAGTGCGAAACCTAACAGGGATACTTCACGCGTTGCGAAAAGCGTGAAGTATCCCTGTTAGGTTTGTAGGCGCCAGTGCGTCGCCACTCCGCTTTGTGTTGGGCTCTAATATTTAATCTGGCGGAGTCAGCGTTATTCAACTCGTGATTTTGAAATGTTTGCACATCCTGTATGGATTATTCTCGTTTCAGTTGATGAAAAAAAATATGTACTAAAGGAAAATATAATGCGGGTTTTGTAAATATTAAGGTGGTGTCAAACTTAATGATTTCCAAAGCACACACTGAAAAAAAAAACTCCGGCCGTGGGAGCCGAAATTACGGGCTATATAGTACTACCGTCCGTTCCGGGCTCAAAGGCCGGAAATTCCGGCTGCTGGAGCCGTAACTTCAATTGCTCCGGGTTCAGAGGCCGAAGCTACGGCTCCAGCAGCCGGAATTTCCGGCCTTTGAGCCCGGAACGGACGGTAGTACTATATAGCCCGTAATTTCGGCTCCCACGGCCGGAGTTTTTTTTTTCAGTGTGTGCTTTGGAAATCATTAAGTTTGACACCACCTTAATATTTACAAAACCCGCATTATATTTTCCTTTAGTACATATTTTTTTTCATCAACTGAAACGAGAATAATCCATACAGGATGTGCAAACATTTCAAAATCACGAGTTGAATAACGCTGACTCCGCCAGATTAAATATTAGAGCCCAACACAAAGCGGAGTGGCGACGCACTGGCGCCTACAAACCTAACAGGGATACTTCACGCTTTTCGCAACGCGTGAAGTATCCCTGTTAGGTTTCGCACTTCATTTCGCAATTAGGAACCACAATTTCTGGCTCCTTCGTAAAATCACATATGTGCATAAAAAAACGAATATAGTGCAAACGTTGTTTTAAACTAAATTTGAACTTGCGTAGTTCCCTATTGCAAAATGTAGTCCATTTTGAACCTCCGCATAAGAAACAACTATAATCAAATCAATGTATGACAAATTACGCATTGAAATCCACCTGCGCAGTATGTCATTTAAGTAGTAAGCACAGCACTACCGCTTGGTCTTAAAATACAACGTATCTTCGATTTAAAATAAATAAATAAAATAACATAAAAAATGAAAACCGGAAAGTGTGAATTAATATAGAAACAACTTGTCATTTTCTAGCTTAGTGATTGAAGTTGGACAGGTTAAATAAGTTCATTGTATTCTACAATATAAGAGGAAAAGTACACATATTTTGGTGTTTAATTTTGCACTGCATCCAATTATCCGTTCTGAAGAAAACCAGTGATCCTCGTTGTCTTAATTTTACCGTCCACAACGTGATATATTATTGAAACAATCCAATGGCTCTCAACCCTAAGTATTAAAACAAATACTGAAGTTTGAATTTAAAGCCTAATTCTCGTTTCTGTTTGTCAACACACATGGTAAAAGCAATGGAACACTTTATAAAATTTAGTTGCAAAACGTAATTTTATTTAGTAACATGTCCTCACTGAACGTGTCATCATATTTGGTACATTATCCTTCGTACGCATGATGCACGCAAAAATGTAGGACACTCGTTCAATATGTATACAATTGTGTATCATACACATTTGAAGGCGTCTATAGCTGAATGCTTTCTCAAGTTTCTTCCATGTATTCTTGTTATCCTATCTGCATCCTATCCTAAACTTAATTTTGACTCGAAGCACGTGATTAAGTAATATTGGATTGTCATCTACGTAGAGACGTTTGTTGTAGATGTCAGTCCGAGAGTTACCTTTTTCAAGTCCTCGTAAGTCAAAAACAGCACTTTTGGATTGTTTCTATGCTCCCAAAATGTGCGAATATGGTCCCAGTAAGGGGAGTAAGGCACTGAAAATGAAACAATTAATTTGTTATCCGATGAGATAAAGCATCCTACGTATCAATTTTATAGAAAAAATCAGCATACACAGTATTGAACAAGTTTTAATTTCTGACTCCCTTGTTATAAAAGCGTTTGATAAACTCAGTGCTCCAACGAAACTAGTAACTAGAATACGTCGTCAAATTCTCAGCTTTAAATCTTTCTCATTTGGCTTCTAAAATTTTACCTGTTTAAAATACGGTATCAAATTCAAGATATGAAGTGAGGGAATTCTAAGCCTGATAAGCTGATAACTATTTGGCGTTGGACAATTTTCTTTACAATCAGAGATGGATCCAGCAATTTGGCAACACCGGGTTTCCTCCATTTAAACCTATGTAAAATAATCGATTATTTTTGAAGCACTCGACTCCTACAAAAATCGATACATTTCCATAGGTTTAAGTGGGGGAAAAACAATGTTGCCAATTTGCAGGATCTGCAAATGTCTACAGTTCGGCTGAATTATCATTCCAAAAAATTTTCGCCTTCACATAATTAATTAGGTCATTCTTCCAATAACTTAGCAATGCCACACATACGCACACGCCCATTTGCTCGTAAACAATACTAATAGTTTCGCTTTCCTCCGCAGAAATTGTTTTTCTCTTTAGAGCAAACGTACCTCAAAACTTTTCGGACAACCTTCAATCGTTGGCCATTCAATTGAACTCACGAACGTGAAACTGATATATTCTCAAGGGTGATACCTTTTAAACTGTATTGGACTGAAGACTTCTCGAGTTATTAAACCGTGTTTATCGTTTACTTACGCATATCGTTGAGGAACAGTTCACAAAACATTTCAAAATTTCCAGAGTAGCCGAGAAAAAGTTGGCTGTAATGGTACTGCGAAATGCATGCATCTTTTGGATTGCGGCATACGTAAACTATCTAGAAAATACAGAATGATTAATCGCGGGAAAAACATCAAATTTATGGTTGAATCAACTCGCTCAAAAACGGACAGAAAGTCTGACAGATCGTCGTCCCCTTCACGAAAAAATGTGACTACATTTCAATGGCGCTAAGTTCATGTTTTATTTCCTGATTCACAAGGGCTTAAAACCTTTGCGAAACGTTCCATACCCTATTTACGTATTATCGTTTCATTTGCCCAGTTTCCTTGTGTTGGATTTTCCCTTACATAACCTAATCGTGTATTGATCTTATCCAGCTTTGAAGGTCAGCAAAAAAAATCAGGTCATTATTTTCGGTGTTTTGTTTTTTCAATGTGACATCCAATTAGACATCGAAATTTAGACACTAACATTGTGAGATCCACAGGTTCGCTTGGTAAAGATCTGATATGATCTTATATTTATTTAATATTTATGATATTAATTAATTTGGCATAGTATCCTTCAGCACTGACCTTTGCTTCAGTAGAAAAGTTTGTGAGTTGCTTAGGAAGCAGGCAAAACGGTAGGTGTGATTTGATAAATCGAGGAGATTCCAATTCTCGGATAAACTTTAGTGAGTCTGTCACAAAATCCTCCATTTCGATTTCTGGGCACTCATTCCTCGCCTTGCCGTAGTTTGCATAACCTGTGCACCTGTGCAAAACTTTCATAATAGTAACAACGACCACTGAATAAAATGTTAAAAGCTTGTGTATTTTGAAAGAGTACCGTCAAAAGCTGTTAAAAATTCTTGTGAGAGCTGCCATTTTTAAATTATTTACAGCAAGATTTACAATAAGTGAGATTCTTAAACATTTATTTAAAAAAGTTTTTGAAAGATCTAATGTATATTTTTACACTCAGAATCTTTTTTAAAAAGTGTTTAAAATTCTAAATAGAAATGTGAGGTAGTTATTCGTGATTTTTTTGTGCGAGTTTTACCAGGCGTCTATTGAAGGAGAGTTTCTTTTTGAGTGCATTTTAACGGAATTTTAGGAGTTTTAAAACGCAGATTTCAATTGTCACCGACACTGATTCCTCAAACTTAGGGGAGGTTTTTAAAATCTGCGATAATACCAAATATATTTGTGTCTCTTAGCTTTCAAACAGTTCACGTTGAGTCTCCAATTCAAACATCAATGATTTTTCGGACGTACCGATGCTAAAAGAAACTATGCACGTTAAACTATGCGGGTTTTCACTTAAATCCTGTGCATATAGTTTCTTATATAATATATCCATTCTTAATAATTCATATTATTATTCTGAATGTGTCCATTTTAGTCTCTGAAATTTTAAGGAATACATACTTAAAAGTCACTTTATAGCACTCCCTGACGCTCTACCACACCTAACCTCCATTCTGCCCTGCTAAGGAAAAACGCCGTATGAACATTCGAGAGTTGCCAAATTTCCTTCGATAAAATATTTATTCATGAGGAAAATTATGCATATTTTCTCTTGAAATTTTAAGGACTTTTCGGTAGAACGGCTAGCAAAATTACCTGAAAAATTGGAAGACAGATATTCACAAATCTGTCCAAAAGTTCGTGATTTACCAAAGGAAATTTGGCAACGGCTGAAGGTTCATACGGCGTTCTTCCTTAGCACGGTATCATTGCCCTCTTTCGAACCACAACCCTTCGGCAATTGTAAGGAATACTAGACTATAATACGATTCTCGCATTTTTCCAGTTCAAAAATTTTACCCTGTACCTTTTTAACTAACAAGTCAAAACTTACTCCAAAAACGGAAATCTTTTATTTTGTGCTATCTGAGCCCTTTTGTAATCGAGATCATTTGCGATGCACCAAACCATCTCTTGTGTCCACGTTGTCCCTGAGGATGTAAAATGCACGTCTTAAAAATGAATGTGGTGCAAATAGCTGTACATAATAGCTTCACAATAAATAGTACATTTGATTGACCTAACTGAATTAGGCGTATTTCTATCAACGGAACTATGTGCATTAAGTAATGAGCCATTAGACCCATAAGAATATGTGCATAGCAAGGGCTCACGTCATAATGCATATCGACGGTGAAACTACCAAACCACGTATCTCGTTTGCGGTGTTTAAAAATCTACGCTCACATTTTATTTTTTTGAAGTAGACCAAATCAATATCATTCCTTGAAATTTTCACGGAATTTTCTCCGCACAAAGAGGAAAAATCACAGAAATTTTCAAGACTGGATGTTAAGTAGTTTTTCATTTAAAAAATAAAGTATGACAGGAAGTCTGCGACGTCGCAAACCGAGATACGTGGTTTGGTAGTTTCACCGTCGATATAGTTCCGTTTCGCAGAAATACGTCCAATTGTCGTGCTATTTATCCGTATTTTATCTTGATGCATAGCGAATTAGAGAGAAAAGATTTTGAATGAAAATAAGGTATTAACTTGCATATAGACATGCTACATATTTAGATAAGAAACGCATCTTATGCATGAGAGTGAAAGTGCATACGTTTCTGGGTTTTTGAGCTGAGTTACCCCAATTACGACCTTTCGTCAGCCGAGCGACAAATTTCGGTGTGCAAAATAATTCATGGCTTAAAATAATAATAATAAAAAAAAAAATCTTGAGCTCCTGTCTAATTTTTTTATTACGACGTCGAAATTTTTATATATTTTATTATATCTTTAAAATCAAGTGAAACATTCCCATATTGTTCACGTAAACAAACATTCCACTATTCGACCAATGAGAGACCCTGAAAGTCTCGCAACTGACAAGCAAAGAGGAAAGAAGTAGTACACGGCCGTGATAAGGAAGAACTCCGTATGAACCTTCGTGGGTTGCCAATTTTTTTTTGGTAAAATACAAATTTTCAGGGAAACTTGTGAAAATTTTCCGTCCAATTTTTCATGAAATTTGCTTCGCAATGTGATCGAACGTATTAGAGAATTTGAAGTAGAAATATTCATTGTTTGCCTCAAAAATTAACGTTTTCAGAGGAGAAATTTGGCAACTCTTGGGTGTTCATACGGCGTTCTTCCTTCGAACGGCAGTGTAGTCCATATGTCAAGAAAGAATGAAAATATGAAAGTATTTGCTTACCTGATTTTGGATAGCTACAGACAAAAATATCATCATCTCGGATCTCCAGGTCGCAGACTTGCTGAGCAATCGCAGTATACCCGCTGGGCATAACGACCCCCTCTACTTTGACATACCCATCACGAAGCGCCCCGACAAAGAAAGTATTCAAAATTTTCCCACATTCTGTATCGTTCCCAATTTTTTCGATAGTCCGTTGTTTTACCATATTTTAAGATGTATATTATGAATTCCTCCTTGAGAGTCTTTGATAAAAAAAAAATCAATTAAGAATACAAGGTCGGAGCATATCATGCAAAACTATGCTGATGGAAATTGTTCGATGAAAAATATTTTTATTGTTTAACTAGTAAATAGTTTTCTTTGGAAATGGGAGAGCAAACTTTGATAGCCAAATTTTTTTTAAGCTGGTGTAAGACTCTTGCACTGCAAAATCTTTTCTATTTTGGTGCTCAATGGTTTTATTCCCCCAAAAATTGTAACAACTCCCGTAAGTTCCTACGTATGCTACAAACAAACACGTAATATGAGCGTTTAAATTCAGCGTGTTAAATACTTTTGTATTACTGACTTCGGTACGATAATTAATCATATCCCATTATCAACCAAAAATCTGAGGCTCTCAAAGATCTTTCATAGCTTCTCCTTCGAAAAATGCTGAACGCAAAGGGAAGAATCTCAAGTAAATGCTGTCCTTCTTTTTTAAAAACACCGCTAATATTTATTTTTGTGTAGAAGTTCATACTCATAGTCCATATTCAGTTTTTATTCTATCTGTTATTTGTTCGTCAAGAAGAAAAAGAATAAACAAAATCGATGAAAATAATAGGGAAATGTTACTTGAATATCACTTAAATACAGACATGGTTCAATGCATATTGCACATACAATAGGTATTATTCCAGGTTTCCAGTAGTTTGTTTTAAAATATACAAAAATGAATAACAATTTCAGTCAAGGGCTGCCGTGATAGGCAAGAGAGCAGTAAATTCATGCTAAGATGAGCCTCGAGATACATTAAAGCATGTGCTAATCATGGCTCATACAGAAAGGCACTTACTGCTCTCTTCGCTATCACGGCGGTGCCGGCTAAACTGTTTTTTGTAGGATCAACAAGATTGTGAATTCAACGAATTTTGATTGATTTCAATGAACTTTCTCCAGATTGTATATCTGGAACAGTATTTTCTAGTGTTTTAGTTGTTACTTCTTACCGGCCGACTTTCCTATTTAGTATCCTTTAAAACTAGCGAAGAAAAATGTAACTAGGCTCCACTTTGAAATCAGACTGTAACCGTGTGAATCACACAGATTAGCGCACTCAAAAGAAATTTGTTGACGGAATGGAAAGAGCTTCAATTTTAATGCATTAAACATGGACGAATGCACGTGCATAGGTATTTAGCGTGCGGTCGTAGAGAGGAATGTTTAGTGAAACCCGGAAACGATCCCTGGCATAATTATGAGAAAATTGCATACGTAAATTTCTCAAAACAAGAGTTACCCGCATTTTGAAAAATACATGAGCTTGTATGTTGCCTTGCGAGCTTCGAGAGCTATTGCTCATAGTTTTAAAAAAGGTAGTTGCCATTAATTGTTCAGTTACCTCTGGAAATAACTTTTTGAACGACCACTGAATTTTCAATAGATTTTGTTCTAATGTTATATTTTTCAAAATTTTTCAGATTTCAAGATTATTTTAATACCATCGTTTGTAATGACCAATACCACACACGAGGCTCTTTCTAAAAAAAGAGTTATCAAATCTTATGAAAATTTAAGAGATGGATGTCAGTGGGTGGGTAAACTTTTGGCATACATTCTATTTAAAAAAGTTTGTTCGATTTCAAATTGGGGGTTGCTAAGTCGTTTACTTTTTTAGAAACTTAAAAAAAAAATGAAAAAACGTTTGCAGCATCTCACCAAGGCCCTGAAACATGACTAATACGAAGAATGTCACTTTTTCCGATCAGAGGTAGATGTATTACTGATTTAAAAGAAAACTAAAAAACTTGAAGAAAAAAACTTGACGCCATGGTATCTAATCATTTGAGTGTGGCTTTCAGAATTCTAAGTAGGTAAAGTGGTCAATTGAGATAAACAAGGGCCTACAATTTGCAAACTTTGTCGTGGGAGTTGGAATACTGCACTCATGCAATTAATATCAGCGTCTGTGTGCAAATCTTTATCAATTATATATAGAACCACGTGCTTGCTTTAGCCGAGAAAAAAATGTGGGCGTACAAAGAGCCCAGGAAAAATCAAAGCATACGTTGTAGCTCTTGTTTAAATCTCTCAATTTTCGTCACATTATAAATACAATATCTCACAAATGTTGAGTATATTGCAGTGTAAGCGGAAAACCTCGGAGTGCCGTAATTTTTAATGATAAACATGTTTATAGTTTAAAATATTTCAGCTCAATCTTGGACGTCATTCTTGATAATAGAATATTTTTATCACGTAATACAACATGTTTAACAATACCTCCACTCATAAAAATTGGCGCTTGGAGTCGAAATTCTCGATCCCGGCTGCCGTGTGTTGGTAAAACTGCCAAAAACTCGGCATACTGTGCCAAATTGTCAGTAATTCGCAGGTTTGCGGAATTCGATACCCAAAATCTCTGATCCAGAGGCCGAGTCTTTCGGGGTGCGGTCACTGCCGAAAAATTTTTAACTGTGCAGGCTATAGATCGTTTTCGATACATCAAATAGGAGAGGTTGTATCGATATTGATTGGTTCAACATGTTAACATAGCCTCAAAAGTCAATCGAGTAATCTGAGGAAACGGGGTTTTTCTGATAGATGTTTGATTCTTATGAGCACTAAATGGCATCGCAAGGTGAAATAGTTAGGAATTTTTTCATTATAAGCATTTCCGACGTGTTGTCTTGTGACAAAGCCGTGGACAAAGCGGATACAATGAGTATGGAGCGATCAAGTTGGTTAATGTGGGTGCCTCCGGACCACGGGAGACGGTTCTAAGACTGAGGGGGTAAATGATGAACAAACTATATGGACTGCATTTTGCAATTTGGACCTATAAACTCCGGCCCGGTTAAAAAACAACGTATGTGCCATTAGTCTACCTATGCACATAAGTGTTTTTTTCAGATGAGCTAGAATTTATAGGTCCAAATTGCAAAATGTAGTCCAAATGGACCCTCGTGAGTTGCCGTTAGTTGGACTACATTTTGCAATTTGGACCTATAAATTCTGGCTCATCTGAAAAAACACTTATGTGCATAGGGGAACTAATGGCACATACGTTGTTTTTAAACCGGGCCGGAATTTATAGGTCCAGATTGCAAAATGCAGTCCAGTTAGTCTATTACCTACCTCTTTTGTCCATTGCAACCAACCACCTCCACCAATAGGTTCAGTGGCGTGGCGGGCTTTGCCATATATCCATTGATCTACCATTTAAACCTATGTAAAAGGATCGATAAACAGGGTGCTCGCAACGAACACCTTAATAATCGATCCTTTACCATGGTTTCACATGGGAAAATATCGAAAATCGATCATTCACGCCTCGCCACTGAATAGGATCCCTCTGAATCAGTGTTCGAAACTCACAGGCGCCAACGCGCCAAATTCAATCGCCTGAGAAATCGGTCATGGCGCCTAAAAAATGATGGCTCTACGCCAACATGGCCCTTAAAAATTGTCCTTCCCCAGTCCCCCCCCCAAAAAAAAATCCTAATTTTTATTTTTTGTGAATTTTCAAAATTTCTCCCAATTTTACAGTTACTAGTTCTGTGACTAAAACATCCTGCGTCTAATTTTTCACCGAATACGCCGTGATACATAGGCAAAAAGTCAATCTGGCCCCTAAGAAATCTTCAATGGCCCCTAAAAGTCGAGCTTAATGCGCCACATGGCTTCTAACACTCAAAGGTGAGTTTCGAACACTGCTCTAAATCCTTTTTTTCTTCTTTGTCTATAAATTTTAACAATGAGCCCGGAGCCCGCTTCAACGTGATCCTCCCCGATAAACCTATCACTACTGCGTGGAGGTCTCTCTCAAGAGACGAGGTTGATCTCTCAAGAGACGAGGTTAATCTCTCAAGAGACGAGGTTGATCTCTCAAGAGACGAGGTTGATCTCTCAAGAGACGAGGTTGATCTCTCAAGAGACGCGGTTGATCTCTCAACAGACGAGGTTGATCTCTCAACAGACAAGGTTGATCTCTCAAGAGACGAGGTTGATCTCTCAAGAGACGAGGTTGATCTCTCAACAGACGAGGTTGATCTCTCAACAGACGAGGTTGATCTCTCAACAGACGAGGTTGATCTCTCAACAGACGAGGTTAATCTCTCAAGAGACGAGGTTGATCTATCAAGAAACGAGGTTGATCTATCAAGAAACGAGGTTGATCTTTCAAGAGACGAGGTTGATCTTTCAAGAGACGAGGTTGATCTCTCAAGAGACGAGGTTGATCTCTCAAGAGACGAGGTTGATCTCTCAAGAGACGAGGTTGATCTCTCAACAGACGAGCTTGAAGCCGGAGCCATTGACTTTGGCCTCGCTCCAGGCGTCGAACTCTTTGACGGTCTGCGGCGTCATCAACTTCTTCCAGCCGCCAACGGAGCCGGAAGGCATCGTCGTGCCGTCCCTCTCGCTGAGATTGTACTTCTTGTTGATCTGGATCTGCGGCTTGTAGTTGACGGCCCGGTTGCCCTTCATGCTCTCGAAGCTGAGGTGCTGCGCCAGCCGAGGCAACTCCTCCTCGGACAACGACTTGCCCAAGAACGTCGCCGTCCTCCGGATCACCGAGGGCAGGTCCTGGAAACCACAGCGTCCATCAGAAATGGAGTACCTTCATGGAGATGTTGCACGTGTGAGGAATTTGCAATTTGTCCATTGATTCTTATGTAAAAGTTTGCGAGAAACACGATGGTGCCACTAGTTTTCTCTGAAATCAACTCCCAAGCTCGAAAAAAGCTCTCAAATAGAGACCAAGATGGAGGGGATATCCCACGTTATCCTGAGAGTCCACCTCTGCATCAAGACAAACTCTCCGCGCAAAGATAGGGAGCAAATACATTAGCAGGGTTGCCGTGTTTTTAGTTTTAGAGTCCCCAAATAAAGTATTAAAGTGGCAGCCCTGTCAATGTATTTCCTCCCTATCTTTGCACGGAGAGTTTGTCTTGATACAGAGGTGGACTCTCAGGATAACGTGGGATATCCCCTCCATTTTGGCATCAACTTGAGAGCTTTTTTTGAGCTAATTGGGAGTTAATTTCAGAGAAAACCAGTTGGCACCATCGTGTCTCTCGCGAACTTTTACATTAGAATCAGTAGTCAAATCCCAAATTCTTCACACATGCAACATCTCCATTTGGAAAGTTGGTAATTGGGGTACAACTTATTTGGTATGGTCAAATTCAGAGAATGGCAGGAGACAGGTTGCCGAAGAAGGTCCTTGATTGGGTTCATCCTGGAAGGAGACGCAGAGGGCGCCCAATTAGAGGTTGGAGGGAGAGGATTGAAGCAGAAATGTTAAGGTGCTCGAAGATCCAAGCTTTGTGGTTCGACAGAGAGCAGTGGAGGTTAGGAGTCGTAGATCGCGAGGGAGTGGTATAAAGCGACCTATATGTGTATAAGTATGTGGGGTATCCTTTTCGAATGGCTCAGCCATCTAAGATTGCACGGAGCTCTGAGGGACAAAAAAATAGCTGACGTTGCATGCACTGCTGTGCCGTGATAGCGAAGAGAGCAGTAAGTGCAGAAATGAAATTTTGAGAGAACAGGCTCAGAAGCTCCTAGCCGGGAAATTTTATTGGAGGAAGCTTCCGTTCTTTGTCAAATTGCCACTAATCATCCGAGAGACTCGTAGAAAATCGTTTGGATGATTAAAAATTGACCGATTTTATTACCTTAATAAATCACGGCAATGTTAGCGCCTGCAAGACTACGTGAATACTTCACGCATTGCGCGTACTCCACAGTGCGCACTGTTGGTGCCTGCAAGACTACATGGATACTTCACGCATTGTGCGTACGCCACTGTGCTGCCGTGATAGCGAAGAGAGCAGTAAGTGCAAAAATGAAGTTTTGAGAAAACGGGCTCGGAACTCGGAAGCGTCTGACCGAACCATTGTTTGAAAAAAGCGTCCATTCTTTGTTAACTTGCCATTAATCATTCGGAAGACTCCTAGATATCGTTTGGATGATTGAAAATCGACCGATTTTGCTTCAATTACATAAAAAGGGTATTTTCCATTTCCATGCTAAACTATTGCTAAGCAAGACAGCCGTAAGTGCTATCTTCTGCCTGCCTTTGAGATTGAGTTTTGGACACACAACAAACATATCGACGGTGAAACTACCAAACCACGTATCTCGTTTGCGGTGTTTAAAAATCTACGCTCACATTTTATTTTTTTTGAAGTAGACCAAATCAATATCATTCCTTGAGATTTTCACAGAATTTTCTCCGCATGAAGAGGAAAAATCACAGAAATTTTTAAGACTGGACGTTAAGTAGTTTTTCATTTAAAAAATAAAGTATGACAGGAAGTCTGCGACGTCGCAAACCGAGATACGTGGTCTGGTACTTTCACCGTCGATATATGCCGTGCTACGGGAAAACGCCGTATCATCAACCAGACGTTACCATAGTATTTCTTTAATGAAAAACGAATTTTCTGGGATAATTTTGAATATTTTTCCTCCAATTTTTCAGACAGTTTTGTTCACAATTTAATCTAAAATACCTGATAATTTCAAGGGAAAATATAATCGACTTTCTTCAAAAATACATGTTTTATTCGAGAAGCTTTGGCAACTTTCGAATGTTCATACGGCGTTCTTCCTTAGAACGGCAGTAGGTATTGTGGAAACATTGTTTATTTTTGAAGATTTTGTATAAAAGAATCATGATATTGAGTTAATTCACGGTATAAATGTAATAATCCGACAACTTTTTTGTTGGTGTAAGTTTCATCGCCACTATTTCCTGATGATCGGGGAAACCCAAAATGTATAATGCGAGAAACAAACCTTTTTCATCTCCTCGTACCTCAGGAACAAGACACATGGATTATTCCGTTGAGCCCAGTACTCTAAAACGTGCTGCCAAAACGGTGAATAAGGCACTGAAAAGAGGAAAGGAAAAATTACAGGATCTTAAAATTTGGAGCACAGAAAAACCTAAAAGGAAGCGATTGGTACTGTATAGTAGTGAAAAATTGTACACAAACTGATTGCGGTAGCCGCTCGGGTCGTAAAACAGTAAATTGGAATTTTTTAGCCAACGTGCTTTAAAAATCAGCATAAAGCTGAAAATCTCAAGACACAGGGAAAAAGCTCATATGGGCACAATTTTTCCCCCAAAGAGATACGCTGCAGGTGCAACACAAGAGTGATAGTTCGCCTTCCTGAACGGTCGTTACCAGTGTTGCACCAAACAGCGTATCTCTTTGAGGGAAAATTGTGCTCATATGAGCTTTTTCCCTCTGTATTGAGATTTTCAGCTTTATGCTAATTTTTAACGCATTTTGGCTAAAAAATTCCAACTTACTAAAAAGGTGTCCTTTATTCTTCATAATGACGTCAGAACTTCATAAGCATAGGTGGACCTATAGAGATGGAGCGGCCTGCCACCTCCCTCGGAAATCTACTTGGCCCCTCTCACGGAATATGAAGAATTTTGCTAAGTGAATGCGTGTTGCATAAAATATATTTCGCATCTACGAAATTGTAATTGGATCGATTTTCCGGTGAGATTAGCCTAGTCTCAAATATAGATAGTCGAGTTTACGGAAAATGAGGCATTATATTTTACAATTTTATTCAGGGTTAATTAATAGATTGAAGCGCCTGTTAGAATACTCATGCAGGTGGTCTCTATTGTTGTCGGAAAATATGATATAATAGTTTAGAATTGGAATTAATAGTTTGAAATAAATATATAAGAATACTCACGCATGTCGTTTCTGAAAGAGTTACAAAGCGTATCAAAATCACCCGTATAGTCACCGATCAGCTGATAATAACGGTAGTATGAAACGCATGCATCTTTTGGGTTACGGCACATGTATATAATCTGAAACCGCAAAGTTACGAATGAATTTGAAGTTTAATGTTCCAACAAAATAATCTTTGAAACTTTTTTTTTTTTTTTTTTCAAAATAATTTTTCAAAAACAGCCGACCTCTGATCCCGATGGAAAAATGCGGGTGGAGATGGCAGTGTCGGAGACCTTCAAAGCACCTGAAATGCTGTTGAATTTGAGTAATTCCATACAGTGTTGCGCAGTGTAGCATGCTTCACTCATTTCAAGCGGCATCAAGATGCCAGGATAAACCTACTTATACTGAGTGTGAGCGAAAACGGGAGAGCTACTCTGCCATGCTTAAGAAAAACGCCGTATGAACCTTCAGGCGTTGCCAAATTTCCTTCGATAAATCGCGAATTTCCTGGTAAACTTATGAATATTTTCCTGCCAATTTTTCAGATGGTTCGTAATATCACCTGAAGTTCCTAAAAATTTCAAGGAAAAATATTCATAACGTTCCGCATAAGTTAACATTTTATCGAAGGAAATTTGGCAACTCTCGAATGTTCATATGGCGTTCTTCCTTGGCACGGCAGTACCCCGCGCAACCGCTCGTGCTCCCATGCCACACATATTGCCATCACGGATATTGAAGGCGAACTCGACAGGATGAGAGACACCTAGTCAGAAGATTATGCAGCGTGTATTCCTTGCCGGGACAAAATGAAAGTGACTAAAATAATGATAATAGTGGACGAGTGTTACATTTTTAACCTAGAGATGCAATTTTCTGGATCAGGTCATCTAGATTTTTACAAGGGCAATGAGCCAGAGGTGATACACTATTTTTTTTTTTTTTTTTTTTTTTTTTTTTTTTTTTTTTAAATGCAATCTATGCAGCTTGCCAACTTTACTTTGTTATTTTTAGGCCCTTGTCGTAGTCAGTAATATTTATGCGTTTGTAACTGGAGTTTTTGTTGAAAAAAGTTTTCGATTTAGTTTATTCAACATTTGAGTAGCTTAATAAACAGAGTATGGAAACTTTGTTCCGTGAAGACCCTGCATGGGGATCCATAGAAATGTCAGCGACTCTGCAAATCTCTCTGGGATTTGCTGAAAATCCTTAACGGTTGCCACTTGCTGACCTTGTTGCAGACCTTGTCACAATAGTAGTCTAGATTAAGAAGATATTTTCGAAAGAAATTCACAATATTGTTTTCATAACTAAATGAATACGCTTAAAAGCGTAGTTTGAGTAAGATTCACCCCAATCGGAAATTTGACCTTGGGCAGATCGGAATAATATTGTGGCAACCTTAGCGAGATTGTGAGCATATTTCAACAGTAAGGTTGGCCTGAGAATCTTGGTACAATATGCCATCAATACTGGATATATAACCTTAGTATTTTAATATTGCACCAATATTAGCAACATTAGAAATCCAACGTCAGATGGTGCTCGGTGATTCCAAGATTGTCACAATGTTGTCACAATATTGGTTATACAATATTGGTAAACTAATACTGTCGTAGAGTTATGTTTTCAATATTGCAGTAATATGTTAGTTTTAACATTGGCGCATTATTAAAAAAAATACTGAACATAGGCTTCTGCTTATAATATTGACACATTATTGACACAATATTAGGAAAACAAAATTGCTAAAATAATATCGAGACGATGTTATCTCCGTGATACTGCGGTATTGTTATTATGTTAACATTCAATTAACGTTAGAACAACAAACATAACAGGCTTCTGTTCGTAATATTGTCATAATATTGACACAATATTGGATATCTAAAACTGCTGAATTGATGCTAACATTATTTTTACAACATTGTGGTAATATTCGCACTTTAACATTGTCGCAAGATTAAGAAAATAAACATTTTAGGCTTCTGTTTCTAATATTGTCATAAGATTAACACAATATTGTGCGCGACGAGCACAATTCGACCGCGTTTGCTATTTCCGCCACCAGGGCGCGCTCGCCGCGGATCTGCCGTTGCGGTTCCTTTAAGGGCAAATTAAAGGGCAAAAACTGCGACCTTTCGCTTTTTGACGTAATAGGCACATGATCCATAGGCGTCTAACCCATCTTACCGATATTCTTAGGCCAAGGGATCAAATGGAGCTTTTTGGCAACGGTCCGCGCGCGGCCGCCCCGTCAATGGGGCTGGTTCTCGTTTCGCCTGGGCAGTGCCCGTTACAAAAGGGATCCAAGTTGAATATTTCAGTCAGTGCAAGCAGCTAAGAAAGTAGCTGACTTAGGAAGGTTCCTCGGCACTCCAATGTTCCGTATGCCTACATTTTAGGCATTGCGACGCTAAGAAACATATTCCGCGAGGACGGCAAGTAATACGGCGTTCTATCGCCTACCTTGCCTCAGAGGTAAGATTGGAAATCCAAGCTTGTCTCAGAGGTAAAATAAATATCCTGCCAATACTATGGCAATATTTTAACATCAAGACTATGGCAACATCATGATCAGAATAACCGCTGAACAAGCTTGGAGCAATATTATTAATATAACGTTGTCACAATATTGAATATCCAAGTTTGTCTCGGAAGTAAAATAATGTCCCACCAATATTGTGGCAATATTGTCAGGATAGGCTTGGAGCAGTCTTACAAACCTAATCTTGGCACAATCTTTGGGCTCAAGCTTGTCCCAGAGGTAAAATAAATGTCCTGCTAACATTGTGGGAACATTAGCAAGATAAGCTTGGCAACTCTATTCAAATGTGAAAAAATGTCATACTAAGCTTGTACCAAGGTCAAATTTCCGATTGGGACGATTTACATAGGTACATAAAATCTGATTTGCTGTCATCCGTCAATTTTTGTCAATCATCTTTATGCAACGCCCGCCATTTTTAAGGATCGTAAGAGCTTCAGGAAGCCTAAGATGACTAAAGCCGATTAATTTTGATCATGTAAGTGTTTACACTCTTACTATGAAGGAACTTTAGTTCTATCAACAGCTACGAATGGTGCGATTCGTGACTTCTTGCTGAGGAGGGACCCAGGAGTACTTCAATAATCCTTACTTTGGCTTGCGTTGAGAAATTTTGAAGTTTTTCGGGGAGTAGCCTAAAGGGTAGATGAGTTTTGATGAATCTTCGTGTGTTCAGCTCGTTGACGTATTTGACCGACTGCATGACATAGTCAGGGGCGGAGAAATCCGGGTCTTCTTCGTACATCACCTCGTGGTTGTAAATAATTGAGTAACTGTAAATTAATGCAAGTCAATTATTAAAACAATGTTTTGAAGAGAAAGTACATGACGATACATGGGTAGCGGAAGGAATTCAATTTCGGGTCATTGATAGGAAAGAGACTGTTAAAATGCGACATGTTTTGCTCCCCCTCCAGATTTTCTTCGCATATTTTTAATCCTAGTCTTTCTAATCCTAAATTTTCAGACCCTTTGTAAATTTCAGGGACGCCAGGGGGGAGGGGGGAGGTTAGGTTAGGTTTGGTTTGGTTTGGTTAGATTAGGTTCGGTTAGGTTCGGTTCGGTTCGGTTCGGTTCGATAAGGTTCGGTTAGGTATAGGTTACGTCAGGGTAAATTCGGTTAGGTTAGTAAGATCCTTTGTCAAAGCATTGTTTTAAAAGGGGACCTTTGAAAAATAATGTAAAATACGTGAAAACGTTTAAAAAAAATAACTGATTTTTTTTTTTTTAAACTCTGTTTGAAGATCTCCCGTTTAAATCAAGAATTGATTGACTACTCACTCGAGAAATGGAAATCTTTCCGGGAGAACAACCTCCGCTCCTTTATAATCTAAATTATTCGCAATGCACCAGACCATTTCCTGAGCCCATGTTGTGCCTAGAAAATAGAAAATACTCATTTCCCAATTATTATTTGGACCGAGTTTAACAGAAAGGAACCAAACCACATCAGCTATTGCCAAGTTTAACTGGGCAATTAAAGTTTTTACAAGAGAACGTTTGTTCGGATTTCTTTGAAAATTTTAAGGAATTTGCTTCATACCATGGAAAATTTTCACTAAAATTTGCACGAAAATCTGCACAACCGTTTTCATGTAAAAACTTAAATTGTCCAATTAAATTTGGCAATAGCTGATGTGGCTTGGTTCCTTTCTGTTTAACGCGGTCCATTTGTGACAGGTTGCAAACATGAAGGAGCAGTTGGGTAATGTACTCGTAAAGTAAATTTTAGTTCAATTGGACCGAGTTAAACAGAAAGGAACCAAGCCACATCAGCTATTGCCAAATTTAATCGGGCAATTTAATGTTTTACATGAAAACGGTTGTGCGGATTTTTGTGCAAATTTCTATGGATTTTCTCCATAATACAAAGCAAATTCCTTAAAATTTTCAAAGGAATCCGCACAAGCGTTCTCTCGTAGAAAATAAAATTCCCCTGATAAATTTGGCAATAGCTGATGTGGCTTGGTTCCTTTCTGTTTAACGCGGTCCAATTATTCTTGTGTAAAAATTATACCTCTGGGTTAGATACGTTCTTATACTGGTGAGATACGGAATCAAGGTTTCTATGTGTTTTTATTTAACAAAAAAATGTATTATTGAAATCCATTTACAAGAAGTCAGGCGGGATAAAAGCTCGGTTAAAATTTAGCTCCCATTAATTTTGGAATTTGTTCTCTTTTTTTGTTGTAATCTCTCTCTTTTCCTATTTTAGTGGGGAAATTCAAACCTCATCCGCACTTCAGTACTATTTTCGGATTCAATGGAACTTGGTGACACCACGACAAATAACTAAAGGATAGTACATGACATATCGACAATGGACTTTTCAAACCACGTATTTCAACTTCACTGTTTTCAAATCTATTATCTGGTTTCAAGTTTCTTATTGATATTATAGAGAATCATCCTGAGGGAATTTTTCCTGAATTTTCTTCTCATTGAGTAGAAAATCACAGCTGTCAAGGCACCGTTTAATCGTTTTCTAGTATAGGTATGAAGTAAGATAGGAAATGTAGGACTTGTTGAAATAATTTTCTGTAAATGAGCAGGGAAAACGATATCGTAAGAACTTAAGGTTTTGATTGGCACCTGCTTTGGGAAAGCTGCAAACGAAGACGTCATCATCTCTGATATCCATCTGTTGGATTCTGTCACCGAATTTTTTGAAGTCTTCGGGCATGACGGCCCCCTTGACCCGCACGTACCCACGACGAAATTTGTTGACGAAGAGAGTGTTGAGCACTTTCCCGCATTCCGTGTCACTTTCAATTTTCTCGTATTTCAATGTCTCCGGCATTTTCGGCACCTGTGAAATATTCTGCCGTGCTAAGGAAGAACGCCGTATGAGCCTTCAGACGTTGCCAAATGTCCTCCGCTAAAAACGGAATTTACTGGGAAAATTCTGAATATGATTATCCAATATTTTCATAAAATGGATATGCTGCATGTGTAAGGGATTTGCGATTTGACCATTGTTTCTTAAGTAAAAGTTTGCGAGAAACACGATGGTGCCACTGGTTTTCTCTGAAATCATCACCCAAGCTCAAAAAAAGCTCTCAAAGTGAGGCCAAAATGGAGGAGATATCCCACCCTACTCTGAGAGTCCACCTCTACATCAAAACAAACTCTCCATGCAAAGATAAGGAGCAAATACATTAGCAGGGTTGCCGTTTTTTCAGTTTTAGAGTCGTCAAATAAAGTGGCAACCCTGCTAATGTATTTGCTCCCTATCTTTGCATGGAGTGTTTGTTTTGACGTAGAGGTGGACTCTCAGGGTAGAGTGGGATATCCCCTCCATTTTGGCCTCGACTCGAGAGCTGAAGCATTTCCATTATGTACGCAATTTGATCTAAAAAATCTGAAAATTTCGAGAGAAAATATACCTTAATTTCATCAAGAATACGTTTTTTATCGAGGGAAATTTTGGCAACTTTCGACTGTTCATACGGTGTTCTTCGATAGGACGGCAGTATTGGTTTTAAACAAAACTAGAGCGCTACCTCCCCTATAGCCCCTACTCGATTTCATCCCCAGAGGACGCTTTGCGCACTGTGGGGCACGCTTCGCGAGCCCTCATGAGATAACCTAAAAAGGACGGGCTCATCTGTAGACTAAGTATCCTCTATCGATTGATAGTCGCAAATATCTTCTATCGATCGTTGGCCCAAAAAATCAGCCTGTTGAATACTTCAGCTAGAGCAGAAAGAATAACTGTCTCTTATATAGATTGCGAGAAGGTTATGTCCTAAGAATTTAATTATGGCTTTCTAAAGATATAAATATGTGTAAATGTTTATTATATAATTGAATAATACATAATCAAAACGTAGGAAAAATTTAATACGTGTAAAAATAATTCTCACCGCTGTACTGTTTCTTTAACTCATTCGCGAACTTGACGAGAAAAGCACGAACTTTTGTTCTTCGAGCTGTAAGAATAGACCGAAGTCAGGAAAGCACTGGCCGAAGACTAGAAATTCTCGACAGATAGTGAAATGTTTCCATGCCCAAGATTTTATGCGCAAGTGTTTCTGGGTCATTCTATTGTTACGGAGATAACGGTCGTTTTAGCTGAATGTATGATTGAAAGAAAGCGAGCGATCAATGTAATTGTTTGAATTGCTTATTAATCCGCCCCCCTCCCGGCGGTGAAAGCTTAAGACAAAGTATGTTATGTGGTCACAATGGAGGGAAGTGCGTCTCAGATTTGCGTTGAGAACAGTCAAACTCTATTCTCTTAAAATGTACGTAGAAGCCTGAAAAAATTTGGAGGAATGTCTCATGGCCGGATTTACCTACTTGCCACCCATGGGCCGCCTGCATTTTGCCGCCCTCTTCTCATTCATTTTGAAACATCAATAAAAACCATCAAGTGAACGTGCCGGAGGGAGAAGGGTGCATAAGACGCGTTCACTCGTGTTGGACACATTTTTTGCGTAGGCCCTGTCAACACTACTAGCAAAAGTTCAGTTCCGTAAACCTATCTCTGTGGGGACACAGCCTTTCATTTGTAAGAAATGAACTATAAAATTAAGAAAGAACAAACATAAATGTGGTTTAATAATTTTAACTTCCGCCACCGTGCCGCGCTGACCACACTAAATTTTGCGCAATGCGTAAAGTATTCATGTAGTCTTGTAGGCACTGTGCGTTTCACGCCGCGCCGACCGCTGTTGACCGTACTGTGTTTACGCAATGCGTGAAGTATTCATGCAATCTTGTAGGCGCTATCCGTTTCACGCTGACCACCTAACTTAGCGACAAAAATTTTCAGAACATTTCAATATAAGCTATATTTGTTATTTTTCTTGTAAAAAACATGAAACATGAGCAGAGATTTAAGACGTTGTGATCCGATTTAAACTTTTTTTCCTTTAACTGCCGATTAGCTTTTTAAACCTAGAAAATAATGTGTCATTCATTTTTTAAAAACGAAATCTGCATTCATACGACAAACAAACAATTTCGGTGCAGTCACTACTTTCGAAAGGTTCAAAGTCCTCGGACCATGAATTAGAGGCCGCACCAACCTAGACGAGAGCATTTTTGCAACAGGTTGGAAAAATCAACGCTTCATCTATTCTTGTCAGCAATTGCATTAAATACATTGTAGTAGGACATCAAATTGACACGCGTGAAAGAAAGAAAAACCGTTTCGCATGAGCCTCTCGATGACATAATGTCTTACCTTTCTGTAATTATATGCCTGTTTAGGGCCCCTTTGCTAGCGTAAGACCGTGCAGATGTGATAAATGATGTTACAAAGAGAATAACGTAGCAAGTTGAACCCGCGAAATCAACAACAATCACCACTCGACTGGTAAAAGTTTGCCAAATTTCTTTCTCTAGCACGTAGGTAGAAACTTAGACCGGGCCGAACTTAGGTTCATCTGGAACGTCAAAATGTCAGTACAGGTAATCGAAATTATTAGGCACAGACACTGAACTGCGGTTCGACAGCCGACATTTTTAGCGAGGACTATGAATCTTAAAGTACAGTTCGCACAAAAAGTTCGGTGCTTCTACAGAAGTTTGGTTTCTGTGACAGATAACTTCGGTTACTTGGACTGAAGATGTGTGTGCTCGAATGTTTTCTAATAAACCGCAGTTTTCCTCCTCGTTTCACGGCATGCAACGAGGAATACCATTACGTGGACGTATGTCTGCCAAACGGAACTATGTGCATCATGACGTGAGCCCTGTTATTCATGTATTCTTATGGGCGTCAGGACTCATGGCTTGATGCTTATAGTTCCGCATGGCAGAAATACATCCAAGTAATCTATAAGGGTTAAGAAAATGTAGCAAAACTACTGCATGCGACTATTCGTGCTTCTAATTGTAAGCCGCAGAAATTGCCACCTCGCTTTTTGAAGGCGATTTCGACTGAACAAGAGACACGCATTCGTGGGTGCATTGAGGAAATAGGGACTAGATGGAGGGGGCCAATGTTATAATAATATGGTCAAATCCACAGTTTGGAAGTTTGCAACTTTGCAACGTTGCAATGAGAGAAAAAAATGTCCCTGCTATGAAAACGTCAGGATTTTCGTATCTCGTGCCGGAGAAAACATCCAAAAGTTTCGGATCCAGCCGAGAAGGAATGGAGCAAGGGAGGGGGGGGGGGGG